TATTTTTATTTTATTTATTTTTTTATTAATTACATTGCATTATGTGACACAGTTTCATAGGCTCTGGGATTCCCCCATCCCCTCCTTGCACCCTCACCCATGGTGGATTCCTCCACCTTGCTGCAGTATTACAGTTCAAATCCAGTCAAGATTCTTTCATTGCAAGCATATGCTATGCATAGAGTCTAGTATCTTATTGCCAGACAAATTCAATGGTTTCTTGGGGAGACCGTCTCTGGTCTGAAGGTAGAGCTGGCAGAGTATGAGATGCATTTTTAGAAGTCATGAAAAGGACCAGTGAGGAGGAAGGTATCTGAAGCTAGGTCTTCCTGAAACATCTTAACCCCATCCCTGCTAGCTGCAGGTGACTGCATTCCCATGCCTCTTTCCTGCCGTAGGAGCGCTGGTGAGGGGCCTACCTGCCTGGTAAAACTTTGTCCTCTGTAGTAAGAGCGAGTCAAAGAGCATCAACAGTTTTGGGACAATGGAAATATATTGCTAAACTGCCTTCTGCAAACGCTGTTGATTAATTCAGCCAGTGGCAAACCTATCAAAATGTTACTTCTGCTTTGATTTGTACTACTTGGAAAACTTGCAAAATTGAATATTTTTACCATGTGTTTGGATACTGAGTTATCTGTTTTACGAGATGCACTTTAGAGTCTTTAAATTGTCTTAATGTCCCTCATGTCATCGGATCTTGCCTGCAACGCAGCATAGCTGGCAGAGCTGATGAAATTTACACGTACTGTATGGGGAACTAGAAGAGGCAAGGCTATAAGCACTAAGAGAAGCAAATGCAAGTCTGGTTGCCTGGTTTCTTTGTTTTGCACGGTGTGTGTGTGTCAAGACGTGGCACTAGACCCTGCCGATGTGCAACTACTACATGTTAAATAGTAGTAACAATAATTCTGATGGGAAGATAATAGAGATTTTTTTTAAAGATGTATTTATTTTTAGTGGAAAGGTGGATATACAGAGAGGAGGAGAGACAGAGAGAAAGATCTTCTGTCCAATGGTTCACTCCCCAAGCGACCGCAAAGGCTGGAGCTGAGCCAATCTGAAGCCAGGAGCCAGGAGCTCTTCCAGGTCTCCCACGCGGGTACAGGGTCGCAAAGCTTTGGGACACCCTTGACTGCTTTCTCAGGCCACGCTGCTTTCCCAAGCAGGGAGCTGGATGGGAAGCAGGGCCACTGGGGTTAGAACCTGGGCCCATATGGGATCCTGGTCCACGCAAGGTGAGGACTTTAACCACTAGGCTATCGCACTGGGTCCGATAATACAGATTTAATGAGCTATGTCTGGAAATACAAAAAAGTATTGCATGAAAGCTAAATGTTGTGATTTCATGTAATACAGTCAGTGAATAGCAGAACATTTGAATGTGGCAGTGGGTGAGAACTCACAGATCTGTCTGACCCATGTGGAAATAACACTCTGCTTGAAATGCTTCAGACTGAGGGGTGAGGCTGTGTATTTTTCATACACTATTACAAATCTCCTTCAAAGAATCAGCCGGTTTTCTCAGAATGTCCCCAGAAAACTTCCTAAGGTCCCATTGGCCAGAAGTACATCCCAGGCCTGCTCCCTTGCAGGGAAAGTGGCATCAGCAGTGACAGTGAGGATCAAGTCGGTGGAGCTCAGAAGAGCCCTGACGATGTCCAGCCCCTTTGGAAGAGGCCTGCGTCATCTAAGAGCAGTTGATTGTTCCCGAGAGAAGGCAGAGACTGGCGGGTCGCTTGGAAGCGGTAAAGCATGGCGTGGGACACAGTGGACAGCATGATTCCTCCATGAGTCTGTTGTCTGAATGGGCTCGCCACTCCTGGTCTTCTGGGTAGCAGTCTGGATTGTTCCAGTCCAGTGAGCTCGCAGGATCCTGGCCTCGGGTTGGCTAAGGTGGCCACTGCCTCTCCAGGAGAGGGGGCAGGGACCCTGCTGTGCCACACAGATCGTCACCTGGCTCATTGTTAAAAATAGCCAGGTGGACTTCAAGTCAGTTCTTCCTGGCATGAATGTCTTTATTAATGCAATTTGCAAACTGCTCTCTTGAATTATTAGTCTAAACCCATTCCAGCCTCTCCAATTTCCTGTGGGCGCAATGCCTCCCACATTTTCTTTCCTAAATACTATAAAGAACAAGAGTAATGTGTAAAGTAGCGTGTAATAAACTTAATTATATTCAAAATAAATGACCTTATAAAATACGACAAATATTAATGTCAGGATAGTAAATAACTGTGGCGTGGTGAAATGTTACTGTTGTCACATGTCGCTGCTTTTCCTGTGAAGTTCTTTTAACCTTTTACATTGAAAACTTGGAAAATTACAAAATTGCAACAGCAAACCAAAGTGCAGGTTTTGTACACACAAGGACAAGTAGAAGATGCAAGCATCTTTAATAGAACAATAATGGAAACATACTGGCCAGCATTGTTTGAGTGGTCGAGCTGCACACCTGGTGGTCTTCACATCTGGAAGCAGCTGTTGTTGGCAAGGTGGTGATCACTGAGCAGTGGTCTGAGAGAGGGCACAGACCCCTGACAGGAAGCTTGGCAACAGTCGGTCGGTCTTGGCTTCTCTGAGTCTGCCCGCAGTATTCTCAGGCAAACCCTTGGAGCAGATCTGCACGAGGCTGCCGCTGACGCTGTGCGCTCTGTGTTACTGGACGGTTGTTGTGTTATTTTAGGAGTGCTGTGGATGTATGGGAGCAGACGAGTGAGTGCTCCCAACAGTGTCATTAGAAACCTACATTTCCCAGTGCAGAAAGAAGGCAGGGGAGGGTATAAGGCCTAAATCGCAATGCAGCCTTCTGACCTCCGAGCCAGACTGCGCAGTAGGAGTCACGACAACACCAGTGTTTCAAAAATGAATACAGATCCACCTTGAAATCCCTAGCGCAGCACCAAGCGTGAGTGTCAGGGCGGCTGGCCTTTCGGTTTCTACACAGCATGTCGTGTCTGCAGGTGAGGTGTGTACTCAGGAAAGAAGCAACTGCAAATTTAACACAAGGTTGTCAAATTTTGACTTGTTTCCTGCTAAAACTGCTCTTAAACAGGCCCCCAGTCAGGAAGCCTGGGCCGTGGCTCGTGGCACAGCGGCTCTCAGGCAGGCCTGGAGTGGGTTTTCGTGGCACAGCGGCTCCCAGGCAGGCCTGGAGTGGGTTTTCGTGGCACAGCGGCTCCCAGGCAGGCCTGGAGTGGGTTTTCAAGAGGTCGACTCGCACTTGGGAAGTTGGTGCTGTTCTTCCACTCCATCAACGTGCAATGCAATGGAAACACAAGTGGAAATGCAGTCATGAGCATGAAATGTGGCCAGTGGATTTCCTCAACACAGAAGGGCCGGAGGCCCAGGGCAAGTCACCAGTACCATGGACCTGATGGACGGAACACGTACTGCAAGTGTAGTTTCATGTCTGCTAGATGCTAGGTTCTCGGTTCAGGTTGTGGAATAGGAAAAAAGGAAGGAAAGAAAAGGAGCTACAAGAACTACTGGTGGAGCACTCGGACATAGTGCTGTTGCAGCATAAGCTTGAAAGGTTCCAGGGAAAGCTTGAATGATGCTTGGAGAGCTAAACCTGGGAAGCTTTCAGATGGTGTCACTGGAGGAGCGCCACCTAGAGAAGCAAAGAGGAAGAGCATACCCAGCTGGGCACAGGGCATGAGCAAGGACACTGGAATCACCAGGGCCTTCCATGTTAGAGAGAAGAAAAACAAAAGGACAGAATAAGTAGCGAAGGAGTGGGCTGCGGTCCGTGGAGTGAAAAGCCTGGGCTCTCCCGAGTGCCCAGCCAACATCCCGAGTGATGACCTTGGGAAGTGAGCAGCTTCCTCTGCGACTCAACCTCCCCTTGAGGATAATGACAAGCCACGTTGACTTCGCCAAGTGAGGAAGAAATAAACATGATATATGCAAAGTGTCCAACACCATGTGGGGACTCGGTGCCGTGAGGAGTAATGAATTAATGGAGGGAGACATCTGGCATTACAACATGAAGCATAAAAGCAACGTCGTGAGCAGGGCAGTGATGGAGTACCTGGAGCCGCTCAATGTCTCAGAGGTTGAGTAGAAAGAACTTAGCAGCTTGTGAGAGACACGCGGTGTGCGGGGAGAGAGGAATGACATGCGGGGCATGAAAAATGACTCCAGGGTCCTTCCCCTGAGCCCTTGAACTTCCAGCAGTAACAGCTACCAAGATCAGAACACCGGAAAACAAACAGGCAGCAGCTCATGAGGTCGAGGCTGGGATTTTGTGTACTTTCTTCTGGAAAGGAGCTGTCGTGTTCTGAGGGCATCTCATTTAACTTTTGATGTGGTTTTTTTTTTTTTTCTATTTTGAGTCAAAACAGTAATGAGTCAAGGGCAAGATAAGGAGATGAGGTAGCAAAGTGTGAGACGATCTTAATTCAGCAAGACTACAGGCCAGGGTTATAAACTATCATTTAATCAGAGTGTCAGTTACTTGCACAAGTGCATTTCAGAACAATTCCAGCTCACTAAAATGCCAGTGGTGTATCGTTCTTAACAATCTGACAAACAGAAAGCAAAGTCAGAAAACTTTGTATAGCACCTCTGCTGCACAGACATGTCTTGTTTTTGATGTTTAGGTGGCAGCGTATTTTCTGGCACTGTCTGCTAGGCCTTTTTAGAGGACCAAGGCTGGCAAAGCCGCCTGAGCTGCCCATGTACCAATCCTAAGACTCCTTGGTGCCTTGGGAATGCAACATTTTCAATAGTTGCTTGATTTCCTACAGAAGGCATCATTATAATCTTTCAGGATGCCGCTTCTAACATTTGTGAACACCAGAAATTGACATGATACGCTCCAAAGTAAAACGTCCACACCATTAAAAACAAGCTAACGTGGTAACCAGCTGTGGGCGTGTGGCTGGGGCTTTGGTGTTCCCCGGTGCCTGGTTTCCGTTAAGCACCCCTGAGAGTTGCTGAAGATTCAGACATGCCACTCATCAGCCACTTTGTGCATTTCTCGTTTTAACCTGCAGGACAGGAGAGAATTGGGAAAGACTCCAGCTACGAGCAGGAGGGCAAAGTGCAGTTTGTGATCGACGCAGTCTACGCCATGGCACACGCACTGCACCAGATGAACAAGGACCTCTGTGCCGATTCCCGGGGGGTGTGTCCCGAGATGGAGCAAGCCGGGGGCAAGAAGCTGCTGAAGTACATCCGCAACGTGAACTTCAACGGTGAGTCTCTCCGTTCCCACGCTGTTCGGGAATCCTCTGTGTGAGCACCATGGCTTTCCTTGGTTGGGTGGCCGCACTGTTATTTACAGATGATGGGTCTACACCTGACTATGTAGATAATATCGTATGATTCAATCAGTGCATACATGAGCAGACGAATGAATGAAGAAATTTGCAGATTATGGCTTGCTGCCCGTGTCTTGGGGAGGGCTTAATACAAAACTACAGTAAAGCTTGAGGTCTGGAGGGTGGCACTTCTCTGATCACACAGTCAACCCCCGCACCTCTGGGAGATGACCCCGTGTTGCTAGAGTGCCCCATGAACAGATGCTCAAGTCACTTCCATGGGATGGATCAGTGTTTGCGCCTGACCTATGAGCCTCTTCCTGTGCAGTTTAAATCGTGTTAGTTCTTTGAAATGCCTACCATAAGGTACATGTTGTATAAATACTTGTTAGTCCCTATTGTCTAAAGAGTGGGCAAAGAAAATGTGTGTGCAGAGTACAGAAACCGTTCTTCTACGCACTTTCCCTCTGCATAGCTAGATTAAGTGCTGCAGGACCTTAGAAAATAGAAGGCCAGCTACACATTTGTGTGTGTGGTCAAGGTTTACTCATTTTGAGAGAAGTGGAAGGAGGGAGGAAGAAAGAGAATGAGAAAGAACGGGTGAGAGTGCCTTCCATTGCTGGTTCACTCCCCAAATGGCTGTCAGAGGGAGAAACCAGGAGCTTCCTCTGGGTCATTCACATTGGTGACGGGGTGCAAGCACTTTAGCCATTTTCTGCTGGTTTTCTTGGGCCCTTTTGGGGGAGCTGGTTGGAAGTCCAGCAGCTGGACATGAACTGGTGCCCAGATGGGTACAGGCATCACAGACAGTAGCTTATCTGCTGTGTGGCAATGCCAGCCCCACAAAAAGAGGAAGAGAGACAGAGATCTCCCATCCACTGGTTCACCCCCCAAATGGCTGCAATGGCCAGAGCAGGGCCTGTTTGCATCCTGCAGCCAGGAGTTTCCTCTGGTCTCCCACGTGGGTGCAGGGGTTCAAGCACTTGCACCACCCTGTGCTGCTTTCGCAGACACACTAGCAGGGAGCTAGCTTGGAAGTAGAGTAGCTGGGACTTGAACTGGCATCCACATGAGATGCCAGCACAAGTGGCAGTTTTGCCTACGCTTCTTCTTGCCAGCCCCTGGTTTCTCATACCTTAATGCTTCGTACAACTCTATCTGAAAATTCCACCTGAAAGATGTGTGTCACACAAAATTCAACACGCACAATTCTAATTATACTGAAAATGAATGGCATAACTGCATTGAAGGATGGGGAGGCAAATGAGTGCGAGTGCTTTGGAAAAAATAGTATTTGTGTAATATAAAAGCAAAGACAGGAATAATTGCACAGAGACATCACACAGTAGCTCTGACGTATGGGTTTTCTTTCACCATTCTGTAACCAACTGCAAAGTAGTTAAACCTACTGTGGATCATGCCAGCTAGTATCTTATTTTCAGAGATAGAAATTGTTAACTATGCTTGAGAGAAAACTAGAATGAATACTGTTTTCTTGGATTAGAATAGAAGACACCAACCTGAACTCAAGGATTCATTATTTACTGAGTAGATGCAGAAGTTGCTGTGTGTGTGTTTCGATGAGTGTTAATAAACATTTGTTTCCTAAAAGGGCAGAGAAACAGTGGCACTCTGTTAGAAACAAATACATCTAGCATCTTAGAATATATATAGAAATATAATTATCCAAGATAATGGTTTTTCCAGTGAGTCATCAGAGATCTGCTAGTCAAGATAAGATTGTCCAGGGTCACTGGGCTTTGGACCAGACTGAAAGTTTATCGATGATTAATCTATGTTGGGAACTGCGCTAAGCACTGTTGGCTTAGTTAATCCTCCCACCATCATGGCGGTTTAGATCCTATTGGCTGGTTTATCTTCCCATCATCATAGCGGCTTAGATCCTATTGGCTGGTTAATCCTCCCATCATCGTGGTGGCTTAGATCCTATTGGCTGGTTAGTCCTCCCACCATCATGGTATCTTAGATGATATTGGCTGGTTAGTCCTCCCACCATCATGGTATCTTAGATGGTATTGGCTGGTTAATCCTCCCACCATCATGGTATCTTAGATGATATTGGCTGGTTAATCCTCCAACCATCGTTTTGGCTTAGTTGGTATCAGTTTCCCTGTTAGGATGACAAGGCAGTGCATTCACAGAGAAGTAAGAGGCGTAATATCTAGGAGGTAATATCTTGGAGCAAACCTGGATGGAGAGGACGCCCTAAACCACTCCTGCTGGCTCCTCTCAGAGCGGAGGTCCATTGGCAAGACCAGTTTGATGTCTCTCATCATGGTGGACTCCTCTTTCCGGGAAGACAACAAGCGCTTGCATAGGCGGGGGAGGGGACTCTCGATCCTAGGCCAATGTCCCATTCATTGGTAGTCGGGCTCAAAATTGTAACGTGAAGAAGCTGACATAAATGCAATCAGTAGATCTCATGCCAGGTGCTACAGTGAAAAGAGATGTGTTGATTTCAACTCATACATTTCCACATTTTTTATATAAAAATCAAGTCCTCAGGAGCAGAAACTACTTATCCCAGACGTAACAAGTAACAAAGACCAAGGAGAAATCAAGGACTCATGTCTCTTTCCAGTTGATTACAAAGAATTGAGTTTTTATTCTGCATGTTTTAGGATTCTGAGTGTTCTTTGTCCCAGTAAGCTTGATCATTCCCATCTGTTATTTTAGTGGAAAATTTGCTGTACCCTTAGGAGTTTTATTCAGACCAGCAGATTACAGTTTAATAACGCTGAACTTCACATTTGCCAAAGCATCAATTTAGGAAATCATAATTGAGTGTCCTGAAAGCGTTGCTGTAGCGTTACTGAGTGCTTCACACCTCTTATGCCCTGAGAAAGAAACGGCCGGTTTAGTTGTTCTTACTCCCATCCTTTTTTGCCCTGCATCTCTGGCGAATGCTGACTCTTGAACTTAAATTTATATTAAATTAAAATTTAATACAAATTAAATGAAATTGAGGCAAGGTGCATTTTGTAAAGACGGTGCATCAAGCATACTACGATGGTGACAGGAGAGCAGCTTTCTGTGTTCAAAAGGTGGAATCTGTGTCCCCTTGGCTTGGATCTGAATTAGCCTAGGAAAAATTCAGATATTACATTATCAGAATCCTGAGAGCTAATTGGTCTTTGCACTTCTGGGTGATTCACTTGAAACTTCAGTGTTCTCGGCTACCATGCTCTGAGGAAGTCAAACAGCTTCATTGATAGGCCTTATGCAAATGCCCTGCCCTGCACCAGCTCAAGTTCTACCTGAGGCAAGTAAGTTTCAGCTGCTCCAGATGATGGGGATGGGCCGGTGAGGTGCTGTCCTCACCAAACCCAGACCAAACTGCAGAGTACCAGTGGGGTACAAGATTCCCAAAATGAAAGTGTTAGATAGGCATGCATTTCAAACTCTTTGGCATAAAGGGACTTTTGTTGCCCCTTTACACAAACATTTTAAAATCTCCACCCTCATAGGCCCTCCTGTTGTGGTTTGTGTTGCAAAAAGGGGTGACAGGTAATACAAACAAGTGCTGTATATGAACTGCTAAACTGAGGCAGGCAGCATCTTCAGGCAGGCCTATCTGTCACCTGGACATCTCCAGACCTCCGGCCTCTGTCCAGGAAGGCGTAAGATGCTCTTGTCTGCTAGAGAGGATCTTGGGTTGCAGTCGAGTCTGCAGGTGATTCGGCTCCCTGCCCTTTGTCTCGTCCAGGACGCCTGTTCCTTGGTCTTACTGCACCTGCTGTCCAGCCCACACACCCTGTGGGACTCTCTGTGGGTAATTGCTTTCCTTTTGATATTTTTTTTTCTCTCTGTTGGCCTTCCCTGATACATTTTTCAAAATATAGACTTCCTTGAACACAATGTGTCTTTTTATCTCTTTCAGGAATTTCAAGATGCTTTTATCAAAATGTAGAGGGGGGCTGGAAAAATGATGGACAGAGGCATGATGGAATCTGTTCAAAAGGTCAGGCCACCCGCTGCGCTCTTCCACGTCATTACTGAGATAAAGCATTCCGCCTTTCTCCCTTAATTCTTTTTAAAAACATGAACTTTAATGAAAATGGAAAGGGCATGACAAAGCCATTTCTCCTAACAAAGATGATCCGTGGGTAGAGAGATGGGGTGATGCGTCCGTTTCTGATGAATCCTGAGCGGGTACCCCAGACCTTGCAGCACTCTGTGTCTCCTCCTACGTGGGAGCAAAGCTTGACTCCTGTTATTTGAGAAAGAGATGCTGTGGAATGAGAGCAAGGCACAACATGTGTCCTACAATGAGATTCTCACTTTCCTGATAAGGAGACGTGAGGACCAGGTTCATTCCTCATCTTTATATACCAGGGAGATTCACAGAAGGCAGAAAGCTGAGACCGTGTTTTGCTGTTTTTGTTCTCTCCCTGTTCTGGATGGGCTTGAGTGTGTTTCTCAAGCGTCTGAGACGTCTCTCTTTTGATAAAGTGGATGCCTTCCTGGTCTGTGGAGATAACGACTGTCAGAACGTGGGAGACACAGATGGAAAGGGTGCCTGGGACAAAAGGTAGTGAAAGGGAAGCAGTGTTCCTCATGGGACTGCAGAGCTCGCTGCTAAAGCTGATGCCAGCCTGTTGTAGGGAAGATAAAAAGTGTTCACCCCAGTGGAGAAATCTATGTTGGACAGCAGCTAAGGGAGGTCACATTGGTGCATTGGAAGAGCCAACAGTCTGGATAAGTGACGGTGTGCAAGCTGTGTGCAACTTTCAGACCTTGAAAGATCTAACTTGCCATTTGTGGTGGCTCCGTTAGTCACAGGCGCGTTCCCATCATCATCTTTCAGGCTCATCTCGGGAGAGGGTTCCAGTGGCAACTAGAAACGGGCTGAAGGTCTTGTCAAGGTCACACATACGCTGGCACACAGAAGGGGCTGGCCCTGCCCAACCACCCCCCCTCATCCATTCTAAAGGATTCCAAAGACCTTTCTCATGGAAGTATTTGAGTCACTGGGTAAGGCTGTCTTCACTCCCGCAGACCCACGTGGACTATTTCACCTGTGAGAGCAGGATGCTGGAGAAGTCACATCATCCATTTCTTCCTTTACTTCCTGTTGCTAGCTTCAAAGATGACCACGAGGTGAAAGGCTTACTGAGCAAACACCTAACATTCCAGTTCTTTTGTCCACACGTCCAACACGGATTTCCCTGTGTTTTGGTTAGGAGGAAGGCAGGTCTGGAGGCTTCTGAAATCTGTCCCTGCAGGTTTGTCGAAATGCCTGCATCCACTGACCCATGGATTCCTGCATCACTCCATCTTGTCACCTTCCTCCTTGCCCTCCCCTGCATCTTGGAGGCCCCTTGTGGTTGTGTTGGGCTGGCTCTGATTATCAAGAATCACCTTCCTACTGACAGGTCCTTGCTCACATCAGTAGGCTTAGAGATGTGGGACCTGCGTATATTTGGGCCATATTTTGTCCCCCTATAAGTTCCATTGATTCTTTCTTTTCTAACACGTAACAGTGTCATAAATGTCTTGAAATCTCATGATTGATAGCAGTTGGGTTGTGCGCTGTGGTTTGGCTGTCCTCCTGAAATAACTGTGCATTGCCTCTTCCAGAAGGGGGGACTTTCAGTACAGGGTCTGGTTTGGATACCTCTTGACCCAGTATATTGTTGCTCTTTCTAGACTCATTAGTTCAGGTTTTTGCTGTGTGGACTGATTGCCTCCATACTCTTTCAGCATTGTGCTTGCTTCTGCAAGGGTTTCTGTCTGCCCTTCCTTCTGTCTGTCCTTCTTTTCTTTCCTGTTCTATGCATCCTTTCTTCCTTCCAGATACATGCTTTCCAGGTGCAATGGTGTCGTAACTCTCATTCATATGAGAACTCGCTCATCATGCACCCTGTCGTTGTACTGTACTTGTCAGTCAGTCCTGCACCATTGAGGCAAGGGCCACCTCGGCCCCAGCTGTCCACACACTGGAGTGAGAATGGTCTTCCCTGGAACCCCACAACCACCTAACTGGTTTAAGTCTAGTGAATTTAGCATCACAACCTCCAGGTTCCTGCTCCTGGCCTTACTCTTTCTTCAAATCGCCCAGCCCACCACTGTCTCAGGAAGCAAGTCCACGTAAGGCCAGGAAATGTGTAAGACTTTGGCCTGCATTTCTCCCACCCCGCCCCTCTCGCTCCATACCTCAGGGCCTAAGGCATGTTGCTCTCTCTTGTCAGGATTCTGTTGAGTAATAAACCTAACTCTTCTGCTCTCCCAGTCCAATTCTTACTGATAAATAGAGGAAACTACTTCAACTGGTCAGGCACAGGGCAGAGTTTCTTTCCTGTGTGTAATTACCCTCCATAGGCTGTCATGGTGACTTATATGTGAGTCCTGTGGGCGGGTGCCAAGGAATCTCCTAAGCCACAGGGATAGAGACAAGCTGCTTTAATCCACAACAGATCTCAAGTCTGTCACCTGCAGGGCTAGTAGCAGATGCATCTGAGGACCCATAATCGCCTTTTTACTGTTGTTTTTCTTGTCTTCCCCAGGTAGTGCTGGCACCCCAGTGATGTTTAACAAGAACGGGGATGCACCAGGGCGTTATGACATCTTTCAGTACCAGACGACAAACACCACCAACCCTGGTTACCGTCTGATTGGGCAGTGGACAGATGAACTCCAGCTCAACGTGAGTGCTGCTTGCTTCTCTTCCCTCCTTCAATGAAAACAAGCTCATTTTATGTGCTCAGTTTGGGATGTTACCTGTGAATGTGCTTGCATGCACTCACAGTTGAATATGCAACCTGTTATGGATGGAGATGGCACAGCAGCAGTGATGATGATGGTGGGAGATCCGCAATGACCTTGTACCAGACATTGTTCTGTGCACCTTTGCCAAGTATTTCATTCATGGGGGCAGGAAATGGCTCATACTGCTTAAGAAATGAATGGTCAGCTAACATTTTAACCAGATCCAGCTCTTTCTCTTAGTTAGGTGTTTGTTCTTCCTTGCATCTTTGCATGTTTTCCCCCTTCTCCATTTGGTGGTGACATATTGTGGTGTTTTTAATGCACATTAGTTAGTTTGTCGCTTTGCTGAATGGTGAGTTTGCCGAGGAACTTCAGTGCTGACCGTGTCCATGGTTTCTCCTTATTTCTGTAAGTGTGACCTTGAGTAATCAGCCACTTCCTTGTACAGCATGACACAAGATGCCAAGGACTTGTCTCTCAGCACGACAGCCAGCCCTGTCCTTCAGCCATTTGAATAGTCCTTTCTACTCAGACCTTGAAAGTTTAGGGTAAGATTCACAGCTACTGGGGAAGACCACCTGTTTTCCATAACTCCTGACTCAATGGTTAGGCTCACAAGAGATGCCCCTGAAAAATATCTAGAACGCTGAGCGACATGTCCGCTCATGTAATGGCCACAGCAGGTAACACATACAGTCAACCCTCACAGCCCCTATTCCGTGTTTTCCCTGTGTTTCTTCCAAAGCTGTGAATGCTGTCATTACCCTTCATACCTTAAGAAATACTTTGAGAATCAATGAGTGCAAGACATTTTGAAAGCAGAATGCAGAACCAATGTCTTGAGAATGGAGGTTTGTGCTGTGGTTTCCAAGAGGAGAGGGCTGTGCAGGCAGAGATGGAGGGAGTAACTGCAGGTCGGTGACCTCATCTGCCCTTCTTGGCTGAGCTGTGCCTGTGCCTGCCAATTCTCCCTTGCTGAAGTCTGCCTGACTGGTGACACCCAGTGATGTGACACCGAGATTGATGCCCAAGGGTTCTAAGCTGGTGTCCAGGAGTGGACCAAGATAGGCAGTGCAAGCCAAATGTGATATGGAGATGAATGCCGAGGGCCAGTGCCAAAGAAAAAGCTAAAATTATCCAGAATCCAAAATTCTGTGTGCTTGGAAGCAAAAAGAAAAATTACAGAGAAAATAAACAGAAAGCTCAAAGGGCAAATCCAAGGAGGATTGTCCACCTCACAGTCAGAGCAGCAACCTGCTCACAGGCCCAGGGACCTTTCTTCTGTGTAGCCCAGATGACCTTTGGATCCTGTGTTGCCCAGGGGACCTTTGTTCTATGATGCTGCGTGATGCTAAGAGAGTCCACAGGACGGAAGGACTAATAGGTTGGTGAAACACTCAGATTGTGGTATAATCTCTTTTTCTTGCACAATTTTTTTAATTTAATTCTAGATGATGTTAATGTAGTTCATTAGAGTGGTATGCATCAAGGGTTAGGGAAAAGTGGGAGTGATCATTGTTTCCAAATCTTCTGTTTTTCCTGTTTGTGGAAGGTGTAGAGGGATAAGGGGAGAAGCCATACCAGCCTCCCAACCACTCCAGTACCCAGGGATGGAGAATAGCCACCCAGTGTCAGGTCTGAGACCCAATGTGGCGCCCACTGCATGGATTCTGCCTAGGTGGTTTCAGTAGTTCTGAAGTGTTGTCGCTTTTGCTGATTCAAGGATGAAGAAACAATGTCCATTGACTGACATAGTTGACCTCAGATATTCACCCAAATATTTTCTGTCATCATTTGGCTGGAGTAGCTGTCCGGTTTGTTCTGTCCTCTTTCCTCTGGGATGATACAAATGTCCCTTGCAGGACTCATATGGATCTGGGCCAGCTGTCCACTACTTCACCTTTTCCACTGAGGAAACCTGTCCCCAGAGCACACAGACTTAGGCCCTGTAACACAGGTGAGCCAAGGACCCGGGCCAGGAGAACTACACCCTACCAGACCCCCTACTTGCCTACCCTTACTTAGGCAGGCCAAGGACTCAGGCCAGGTGACCCAGTGCCCACCAGATCCTCTGCCCCTGAGACTCAAGGGCCTGGTACCTATCACATAGACAGACCAAAGATCCAGGCCAGGTAATCATGGCCCTGCTTGACTCCCTACTCCCAGGGTTCACGGACCCAGCACTGTCATAGCTCTCTTCACCTTGGCGTCCTCCAGCAGGTGCTGTAGCCTGAATCAGTCCAGCATGCCCCCAGTTTCAGCTGGTGCTGGTGGGTGCTACAGCCCAGCCAGGCCAAGCCAGCCCCCAGCCCCGGCTCTGATGTGAACTGGCTGATGTTGCAGCCCAACTCTTCTCCTGCATCCTGTCCTGGTTCTCAGATTTGCCAGTGGGTGTTATAAACTGGCCCAGCCTGACCCACTCCTGGACTTGACCCACATGTATACTGGTGGGTAGCATAACCTGGCCTGGTCTGGGCTACTCCTTGCTTTGGTTCTTGCACTCAGCTGCAAGGACTGCATTCTGACAAAGGAGACTCCCAAGCTCCTCCATCAGGTCTCAGTAACATTAGTCTTTTCTGACATAACCACTGCAGTGGATTAAATTTCTAGCATGTGTCATTGATTCATGTACACAGGAATTCCCATATGGCATTTACAAACTTCAGAGCCTGAGAATTCTTAGGAAAAGTAAGTGTGAAGAACAAACACTGTTGTGGATCTTGTGTTTCTTTGTTTGGCTTGTACTTTATCCCTCATAAGAATTGTATTTGATTGGCCACTCAATAGAATTTTGTTGTTGTTGTTTGTTTTTTAATCCCTTCTGTATTTGTCAGCTTTGCGTGCTTGAAGTAAAACACATGAGAGAAACCAGGAAGGAAAAGGGTTTGTGTTGTATGGATGCCTAAGGGATGTACAGTCTGATGAGAGGTGGCTCCACTGGCTTAGGCACCTGTTGAGCCTGGGAGCTTAGATTCGACAACTTCCTGACGAGTCAGAAAACTTCGTACATCCATTCTCTAGGTCCCTGCATTTCTCTTCTAAGAGATCGCGAGGTGGTCGTGGGCTCCAGTTTCCCACCCTGAGCCCATTTGGTGGCTTCCCTTAGGTCCCACTTGCCTACAACATCACTGGGTCAAACTTCACCTGCAGGCATCAACCATCAGTGTAAATTCATCAACCTTTAGCTTAAGACTTTGGCACCTGAACATCTGCATGAGTCTGGGGCGCAAACCCTGTTTAAAATCACAACACGTATCTGTGATAAGCACTGTCAAGTTGTGGCAAAAGTCTGTCCTGGAGACCAAAACAAGTGTGGTCTCCTCTCTTATACAATTGACTGTCAAAAATAGAGGACTCCGATGAGAGAGGCAGCAGAATGGAGGAAGAGAGGGGGGATGTACCATATGAAAAACTGCCAATGTGAAGAAGGTCAGAAGGCTGACGTGGTACCATGATGAGGGAGGGGAGTGCAGGTGATTAAGGAATCGGTGTAGCAACAGGAAAGGACCGTGTTAATACCATCCTATGCAGGTCGTGATAAAAAAAATTCAATTTCAATTTCATTAAAACATTTGAAAGATATCGGGGTATTAGAGAAGGGAGGAATTGCATCAGATTGAGGAGGAATGATTATGTTAATTTCTGGTAAGATAATGAATTGTTAGATATAGGCATGGGAATGGAAGGACCAATTAAGAGCCCTGTGGTTGTCCAGTCACAACAGCGCAGCTGTGTCAAGTGATTCCCAGATCTCCAGGTATATCAGAGTCCTGTGGAAGGTTTGGGAACGCACAGGTTAGGGTCACCGCCACCCTCACCACAAATCTCTGATGTGTGATGTAGAGGGTCTGGGGTTTGGGGACACCTGAGTCACTGTTTCTGTTGCTACCAAGTCCCTGGGCACCAATGATAGCATTGACTTAAAGATGTGTGGTGACGGGGAGGGTTGGAGGAAGAAGCCGTGTGAATGGTTCGTGCCCATGTTGCTTTCCAAGCTGGTTGAAGGATGTAAATACTGCAGATGAAAAGGTCCATGGGGGCCAGAGATCAAAGACAAGTGGCCCAATATTTAATATGTAATGTGTTTTGACTTTACAAGACTAGAAGGAAATGTTGGTGCATCTGAAGCCCTGACAAAGTCTTGAGCTCCAGTTTTATAAATAGAAGGAAGTTATTAACAAGTGAATGCCATTTAAATCTATTTGGAAGAGAGAAAAGGGAACAGCATAGAACCCTGGCCTTGGAAACATTATAAAAAGTGAGCCAATTGCATCCCAACTCTTCCAAATAGCCAAATAGCCCTTCCTTGAAATGCTGCATCATCACGTTACTGTGAAGTATTGGGCTAACCACATCCTTTGGGTTTGGGGAAGCTGAGTGTGAGCTATGCTCTACTTCACTTTTAGTGAGACATTTTTCCATTCTTCTTGGTGTTGCTGAGCATGGTACAGGACAAAGAACAGATGGGTTGCCTGCATGTTCAGTTGGACACCATGGTTGATACGTACTATTGAGCAGAGTCTTAAGGAGTAAAGAACTGAGCAGCACCATGTAGAGAGAGACACGGTGGCTTCTGCACTCACTCTGACGATCTTAAAAGGGTGAAATTCTGTGGGCACTGTTTGTTATCAGATGGAAGTTGAACCATGAACGGTGGAAACAAGTAACAGAATGTCAGTGCAGTGCTCATAGGACTTGTCCCACGTGTGTCACCCAATGTCCCAGGCAGAGACAACAGGAAAGGACCATGTTAATACCATGTCCTAACTGGACAGGATTCATATGAGTGCTTGCCCTTGTCACCATGGCCACATGTTGTCCTGCCCACAATGCTCATTTTGTTTTCATTATTTTGATTCCATGTCAAATGCTGCGAGGATGCAATCTGAGCAAATGTGTTGTAGGTTCTCTGTCTTCTCATTAGCTACAATAAAACAA